ACAGTGGTGGAGATGTGTTAGGCCTGTGTTATGTACATCATGTTGTGTCTGTTGCTGAGAAAATCCCTTTACACAATCTCTTACAGTTAAGAAAGCCCATCCACAATGCAATCTTCACACGTTTGCATTTTATTTGTGAACAGTGACCTTGACTTTGCTTTGCATGTGGGAAATCAAAAGGCTAAAATTAGCGCGGGGTTTAGCCATTACACTAATCCATGTGCTTCTTACTACTACAACCGAGCAGCATTGTGTCTGCCAGGTATTTATCTGCTGCGTTCTCCTGGGAGATATAGCGAGAAGCCACTATTTGGAAAAAACATCACTGTTCAAGGGTTCTCATTTGAGGGGTCTCAGGGATAGTAGTCAGGCTTCTATTAACGACACACACACACACACATATTCCCCTATCAGACAGGACATTTGTGTATGACACACATCTACTTAATGCATGCTTAACCGCATTTGACCCCAAGTTAATTCCTTGTTGCCACCATCCAGATTCCAGTCTGCAACTGTAGAAGAGGTCTGCACAGGAATGATTATCCACTCCCACTGATGAGCTGTTGGCAAAATCTCTAACGTTTACTATTCCCTATGGAAACCCCTGTTAAACCTGAGATGAGTGTTCAGTGCTGGTTGAAAGCAGGGTTGCAAAGTCAGGTTGGTCAACCTTCGTTAAACCATTCAGATTGACGGCCATATTAGGCAATATGAAGGAATCACTTCATGTGCCTTATTGACTGACTGACTGGAATATGGATTTCCACCAAACATCCGCTCATTTAATATCTCTCGACAGATTCTGCGTAAACGCATAAAACCCCATAATAGGAATTTATAAATAGTATTTTAGTAATAAATATTTTTACCGTCAGTTTGCGTAGTATTTGAAGTATCTACAATTTGTCATCACGTGACCTAACAGAACTATATAAAGAGGTTGTATGTCGGGGTAGATCACAACCTCTCTCTGTTCCAGGGTGGTCTCTGGTGAGGCACTTCACATTTTGCCAAAGACCATCCTAATCCATATATTCCATCCCATGTATGACCTAATATCAGCCCTGGGAAAATCTAGTAAGTGGACCATGTGTTCAGATTATTTCGTCAAAATTCGAACCTATTTAAAACCAAATTAATTAACGCTGAAATACTGCATGTCCCACACACTTATGACCTTGGTTGTGGCTACTTCAAAATGAAAACAATACAATACTTCCTATGCTTTTACTGTGAAAAGCATAGGAAGTGTTTTTTTCACTAAGAAAAGTACTGAGATTACTTTTCATGCTGTTTACTTACACTTGGCTGAACTTTCTCAAAGTTGTTTTCAGGAGCAAAAAGCACATTTTCCCCCGGCCGACAAAGGTGTTAGTCATTGTTCTGGTTCTCCTTTTAATATACTAACCAAAAAGCAGCAAATTGCGCTGAGGACATTATGCCTCCCGGAGAGCCTTACATTTCTAAAAAAGGCTCTCCTCACGATTTTGTTCTGTGAACTTGTCAGAAATACACAACCAAAGAACATCTTGTTACTCCTATTCCTGCTAAAGGATGCATCCACGTACCTGTGATGTACAGCTCAGTCTTGACACCTTTAGTCCCTCTCTCATCAGATTGGTCAGTCTATTTAACATATATCTATTATTATGACAAATGACTGAAAAACATTGTAAATATTTATCATGGAGAACAGCTTTAATTTATCAGCTGTCTTTTCAATAGGTGGCAGTGCAATACCACAATATTTACTGTAATTGGTGGAAAGTAGATTTGCCGTTAAAGGCCACTGTATCTGTGGTGGCTTTTTTTAAAAGAAAGAAAGGGAACAGAAGACATTGGTAATGCAATACGTTAATGTTCTTCTGAGATACGATTTTATTTATTTATTTTTCCTTTTTAAGTGTAGGGTTAAAAAACAGATGGGGAGGACTTCAAAATAAGTCGGTCCTTTTTTCTATATGTTAATGGACAATATTGAACTTTGGTGCTTAAATGAGTAACTGAACGAGTTTATCATAATTGAAGAACTTCTATTAATCTTAAACCATATCATACCAGTTCCAAAAAACAAAAAGGACACCCAAATAAGCCCGAAAGACAGAAAAGAGGAGAAAGAAAATACACTAGTATTCTCAGCTGGATATCTGTCATTTAGAGCTGAAGTTTGAAATTGAGGCTGAGGTTGTACACCAAAACCTGGTTGGGGGAAGGGAGCAGTGTCAATAGTTAATGAAGTGTATCTAAAGTTTTTTTTTTTTTTTTTTCACCAAAGCAAATTCATTCTTATAACTTTTTACTGTTGAAGTTACTAATTATCAATCCACAGATAATAAAATAATAAAAAAAAGAAACTCTTCACTAAATCTTATGTAGATGAAAATCGTTTTTATTCATTTAAAAAACTAATAGTGAACATTTTGAATTGAAAAGCCTTGGCATATTGTTAAGTTTGCTTTTTTGATCCCTGTAATTAGGATGGCGCAGCACAATCCGTTGATTCCTGTGCAGTATTCTGTTTGCCTTGTGATGGGTCCTAAAGAAGTTCAAATGAAATAGAGTAAGAAGTGTTTGCACTGTTGGAAATGAAAGCTTTAAGGAATAACGCTTTCAAAATCTGATATCTGTGTATGCTGTCTTGGTTTGAGTTGGGTTTTGGATTCTTGAATTTTTGCTCTCCAACATAAACAGTTGTGCTATGGATTGTGCAGTGTTTTACAAATCAGTGTTTTCTGTACAAGTGCTGGGTTACTACTCAGTTAATTGAAAAATCTGTTATCAGAGTTTAATTAAATGAACAGGGTGATTGCAGAAACTAAAATGAATTGACTGACATTTACAAATGACTGCTGTCAGGCCGTCTGGTTTTGCCCATTAAAACAAAGGATTTGCAATAGTGAGATCCTAAAAACAAACTGTTGCTGGTTAACCCAATGACCCTATACCTAGCGTCATACCTCGCTTTAGGCAGCCACAACTGCTCACAGTATGAATATTCAGCAAAACAGTGTATGGTCTCAGCATAGCTTGTGCACCTATCACTGTGCCTTCTACTCTGCAGCCATGTCGTGAGTACACTGTGTGTGGTGCTAGTAGTGTAGTGTAATTGTACTGCAAGCACCTTGGGAAAGCCACCTGTGGATTTCTTTGTACAGTGTTTGTTTGGTGCTGTTTGGATGCAACAACGAAACTAAATGAGCATTTGTTATAAGATAAGATAAGATAAGATAAGATATTCCTTTATTTGTCCCACAATGGGGAAATTCTAGACACAATG